TTTTTTTTTTTGACAAACGTTAAAGGATTGTTTTACATGATTGTATAATAATATGGAAATAAAATACTGAGCAAAATAAACTCATTACGTCAAAATTTAGAAAACATCATTTTTTTATACAACGGGGTGAATCTCAATTTTTACTCTAATAATCCTCTAATTAATTAATACAGATTTAAGGCTTATTAGACAAGGGTTTTCTAAATATCTGTAGTATAGTAGGATAATAAACAAAAACTCGCTAATAATTTATGATATTTTTTTAAAAACAGAACTTACCTTATGAGAAGGAGTTAGTCGAGGGTGCGGTCAAATAAATAAAAAATTTAAATATATTAATTATTTTAATTTTTTCCGACGTTTCGACCCACTTTGCAGGTCGTCTTCAGGGCGTAGGATGTGACACTGCGGAAGGCAGTTGAAACACTGGCGAGCCAGTGTTTCAACTACCTCCCGCAGTGCCACATCCTACGCCCTGAAGACGACCTGCAAAGTGGGTCGAAACGTCGGCAAAAATTAAAATAATTAATATATTTTAATTTTTTATTTATTTGACTGCACCCTCGACTAACTCCTCATATTATATCAACGGTCAACCATCTCTACATCATTAAGAACTTACCTTAGTTTAGCTGCTTGAAAGTCATCTTTAAATGGTTTTAACTATGACAAACTCTACGCTCATTTGAAGTAAATTTTGTTATAATCACTACAAACTTAAGAGCGGAGCAAGTTCTTTAATGGAGGCTATGATAATTCTAATAAAACAGGGGGAATCAAGAATCAATAATGGTATTACTGAACAATACAACACAGTCTTATCTGTTTTGAACCTTAAGGCAAAGCGGTTTCTTTTGAGTATGAAAGCCTCATATATGAACAAGGTACACTGCAATGGGTAGGATCCCTGGGTACTGTTAAAACCAGGTAATGGACAAGATGATAAATTTACATGGGAAAGTTCCAAATCATCTCATTGGAGATTAAGGTGGTCAAAAAAGTGCTAATTGTAATGTTTTTCTGTAGTTTCCGCAAAATGAAACTCATATATTTTACCAATTGTTCACAATAGTGGCTGAGGTTAACATTCATGGAATCGATAAATAATCATGATCAGAAAATATTTGACGTTCTTTGAGTTCTTCTTTTCTTATCCTTCTTAAACATAAACATGTACAGTTTTCCATGTTCTCAATAGATTAGCAGTTGTCACCTATTGATGCTCACAACTAATTGTGCACAAGTATTCTTTTGTTGAAGAAGAAAAATGAAATGCTGTAGTATTGTTGCATAAATACATAGATCTTAGATGCCCCAAAAAATCTCAATGTGTTCTTTTCTTAATTTATAAATTTTTCTATGACTATTAATTTGTTATATAAATAATTTGCATTTTCTATGCCAATCATAAAGCCAATAAATCCTGTTCTTTTTTCATTGACAGCCAGGATATCTTCAATATGCTATAATTCTAGGAACTATAGAATATATGCTATATCTAGGAACTATAAGCTACAAGTTTTGGCTTATGTTAATAATCCTATGTAGCTTGGCCCCACCAAAGCAATACAAGTGTGTTTGCAACAGTCACTACAAAGTTTACCTAGAATTTTAAATTTATTTTATTTTTAAAATAAACTACATTCCATGCTCTTAGTTTATTGTTAAGTTGGAGTCCTTCTTGAGACTGCAAGTCCTGCAATTTTGTAATCAAATTCCAGGTACTATCTTCCTTATCAATAAAAAAAATATTTTACACGGTGGACCAGACTCTCCTACCGTGCACCCTCCCCCACGTCCCTATAAACTGCATCTCGTGTTCCTTGTAACTATTTAAAAAAAAAGTCAATGTTCCCACAAGAAAAAGTGAAAGCACTGCCCAAAATGGCATCCAAACATGGCGGACTGACGACTTTGACTTTAGTTAATTTTTTGGTGACTGAGAATCAGCACTAGGCTTAATTTAATTTCCTTTATTCTATAGGAATGTCGTTTAAGAAGGACTTTATTGTAGAAATGATATAATTATAATAATAAAACTTAATTCAAAAATACTTTCCTGAATATCATTATTTTTTTATTAAACGTTTGCAATTTAACACTTTGATTTGTATATTTACTGATTCTTAGAGGTAATTTAAATTGTATATACTTTCCTGGAAATGAGTCATATTAATATCAGTTTTATAAACTAAAATAATATATACCTAATCTGAACTAAATATAATGAATAGTTGACGAGTTGTTTAGTGAAACTCATATATCACTAATAAAAAAAAATTGTTTTGTTATAAAAAAAAACGAGTTGTTTAGTGAAACTCATATATCACTAATAAAAAAAATTAGTTTTTATTTACTTTATTTTGTTTGGAAGTAAGACCATATAAAAAAATAGAAAATTTTAATATTGAATGCATTATTCTCTCTGCACAAAGAAAGATGGAAAGGGCGAAGCTATTAGTTCTTCTAGGTAACCGGAACTGATTATTAGTATTTGGTCTCAAAATGAGAGAAAACGCAAAAATGGAACCCAAAAATTGGAAAAATACATTAAACGAACGAGAAAGAAAGGGCCCAAATCTGGGAAAATAAAACAAGGATCAGTAATCATTATATGGCTAAACAAATATATAGTAGACAGATGAACAGATTATTTCAAGATGCTGCTAAAAGGGGGTCAAATTTTGGAGCAGTTTGGATGATATTGAGGGAACGATGCAGGTATTTTATGATGAAGACCATTTTATTAAGAAGAAAGATTTGTTCGAAGCAATTGGAAATTCAGCAGGTCAAATAAATTAATTACAAAATTAACCAGACAGGACAATTCCAACAACAAAGGCACTGATACAAAGGATCAATCTAATAAAAGTTTGATGGCAAAATTTTAGCCAGATCTTCATAAGGAAGAAACTACACCAAGAAGAGTCTTAAATTGTTAATTCGGGGATTATTTATGATCTAATATAAGAAACCAGTACACATGCCTTCTTATTTGTAAGCTTTGTCACATTAACTTCCACCTCATGTACTTAGACAGTAAATTTCATATTCCTCTATCATCCTATATAAAGCAATATCTAACAATCCATCAACCACTAATTACTACTAATTTCATAATTTCATACATTGTCACCCTCCACTGCAATTTCCTAATTATTATTTTTAAATAAATTTAAAACTTTTTAAATTTTAACATTAAAAATAGATATTGTTCTTCTAAATTAATTAAACAATTAATGCACACACGTTATACAACCTTGATCAGAAACTCTATATTTAAAAAAATAAATGTTGAATTATAAAACTATTTTACAACTTTTTTAATACTATATTTTTCTATTATTTATAAAAATATAGAAAGTTAAAATTCAGGAGAAAACTAATTTTTTGAATCAAAAAGAAAGAACACAAGAATTTTTTTTGTTCTGATTTTAAAATAATAATTATTATCAAGCAAAACTTCTATTTCAAAACATGTAAGTATGGCAGTAAGCATATTATGAATAAAAGGTTACAATATCAATAAAACTATACACAAAATAAATTTATTGATTATGTTTCTTGAAATATTTTATTCTCTTTCTTAGCTGAAATCTTATTTATCTTTGAAGAAAACCTGATAAGGAACCTTTCATTTACCAGCATAGTTTGAGTTCATCAAACAATAAAGAAACATCATAGCTCCTGTGACATCTCATAGTGCATTATTCAAATATTCTAAAAATATGTTTTAATTATCACATTAATAATTATGTTTTCTATATTCTATTTTATTTAATATTGGTTTTTGTCATTCATCACTATGGAAACTACTGATCATTGTAAATGGGTTACACAGGGGGTTTGTATTCAGTTGATTGTATGGGTTATTTGATAGAAATTATGAAAAAAATTCTATCCAAAGAAAATAATTTTAATTGAATTGTGAATTGTTACTTGAAAAGTAACTATTATTTTCTATTTATTAGTATTTATAGATTGGTAATTTCATCGCGGCGAATCAAATGGGCTTGTAAAGTTGTTGGGCTTAGTAACGAGAGAATTCCTAAAAGGTTAATATTTGCTGTGCCGAATGGTAAGCGTCGGAGGGGTAGACCGAAGCGAAGGTGGGAAGATTGCATTAAAGCTGATCTGAAGGGACTGGGTTTGGACGGCGAACGGTGGAGGGAGGTGTGTAACAAGCGATTGGTGGTGTCGGCATCGAACCTTCGGGTTCGCTAAGCCTTATTATTATTTATTATTAGTATTTATAGATTGGAATTGCAGTAAAAATTCCCATAAAAACTTACCTTTGACTGCTAAAATAATTAACACTAATACTGAGTCTACTTAAATTTCTTTTTTTTAAATTTGAAATGTAGGCTAAACTATACATAGAGATATAATCAGATAAAAGTTATCAATATTCTTCAATAAACCATTTTTTCCCCAGGCAAATATCCAGAAATTCAGAAGATAAAATCATTGATTTACAGATCAACAATATTTCAAAATTATAATTTTATGGATTATACTTAAGAACAACCTTAAACATAAAAATTGTTGTCTGGCTATATTTAGGGAAATAATGCATAAATTTAAGTAATGTTAAAGAAGGAATTGGTCAGGGTACAGTCAAATACAATACTCCATCTCAAATTGTAATCACGGTCAAGCATCTCCGCACCAGTATAAATAATGTTTGATTTAAAAGATAATACAAAAATACCAGGGTGTTATTAATATTCTCACTTCAGAACAAAAAAAAACAAAACAAACATATCAGTTCTGAAATTACAAAACTAATTTACTTTATAATGATAAAATGAATTTTTTCATATATATATATATATATATATATATATATATATATATATATATATATATTGTAATGTTAATATACATTTCCCATAAGTAATGCATTGAATAGTGTGAACTAGAAATTAGTTTATTTGAACTGAAATACATTTTTTTTAAGTATTTCATTATAACAATCATTAAAATAAAAGGGTACATGATACACACAACTCACATACACAAATAAACATGCATAATTTTTAATTATATGTAATTAAAATTGAACAAAAGAAATATAACAATATGATTTAAAAAAATTAGTAACCCAGTTAACAGCATTAGGTTATTTAAAATAAAATTATGTAAATGATAATACATACATATGCACACAATAGAATAAAAATAATACAATGTAGTAATGAAAATATGCATAAAGCAAAATAAAAATTTACAATTTACACTATTAGAAAATCAGAATTCTATGAAAAAATGCTTGTTGAAAACCTGCCTAATTTAGGAATATAAAACCATAAAAAGCTAAACCAATTCCAGAATTTGGTATATTATTTATAAGATAATAGTTTTCAATTCAACAAAAGCCAGTCACATTATTCACTGATAAAATTTAATAATTTGTTTTCTGTTAAACAAAAAAATTTTCTGTGACAATGACCATACCATATGGCTAAGACAGCTCGTTGTTAAATGGAAAAAATAAAAATTTCAACATGGTAATTTTAACCCTGTGAATAACAGGTAGAGTATTTGTTTATGTTTTTCTTAATATAAAATTTGCTTCCTTGTGAAAATTTTATCCTTCAACTGTCTTTATGTCTGAATTTTTTTACCCCAAAAAATATTACAACAAAACAATGAAATAATTATGATGTTTTTGTACATAAAATGTAGTTTTAATACCAGAAGGACCTACTAAGCAATTTAAATTTCTTTAATTTATATAGGTAATCTTCAAGAATTAAATTGAAAAAATATATCATTCAGAAGTAGTTGATCATATTTGTTTCAACATTCATGTTAGGAATATTTGGGGAAAAACTGGATAAATAAAAGGGGAAGATGGCAGTTTTGGATTTGGTTACAGAAAGTAGTCACTTCTAAAACACCTTTGAATTTAGAAAAAAAGGTCTTGGAAAAAACTTGACACTTCTAGTTAAACTGAGCATGACATGAAAGATAATCTACAGGAAAATACTAACATCAATACTCACTAAAAAGACAGAAGAGGTAAGAAGTAGCATAGAGAATGTGGACAAAATAAATGTCAAGTACACTACCCAGAGGCAAACAAGGAGGGCATTTAAACTCTTTCCAAATTTAATTTAATTTGATGTGGCTAACACGTTCTTCTACAGTGAGAAAAAAGCAAATACAAAAAATAACTGACTGCACCCATAAAGAAATTACTAAATAATGCCGATGTTCAAATCAAATGAACTATTTGTATCAATTGAGGGTGATGTCCAAGGTGAAAAATTCAAATAACAACCTCCAAGTCAATCAGCAGAAGAGGTCGAGGATAAATTATGCCCAAGGATTATTGATGCCTAAGTCATGATTATTATAAGCAAAAAGCTTAAATTATTCAGAGATCTCATCTGGTCAGATTTTAATGTCATATTTTCAGTCATATTTTCATCATATTTAGAGGACTAATATATTATTAGCATTTCATTTAATAAATGATAGTATGCTTTGAAAAAAAAAAGAAGATAATATCAAAATAAAATGATTCTAAAACTGATTAAAACAAATAGCTAATTATATAACAGATATTTCAACGATTGGTATGGAAGAAAAAATAATCATAATATGGCAAGATTTTACATAAAACATACAGACTTACAATAAGGACTGAATATACAATATACAATTTTCTACAAAACATATGTATAGGTATGTATAAACACACGCTCACATTAACAACTTCTAGAATATTGTATGACATAATCACGGACTTTGTTTTTAAAGGCTTCTTTGTCACGAACATATAATTCGGCAGCAGATATATTCAAGGGGTCCTCAAAATTTAGCAAATCCTGCAATTAAAATAAATAAACAAATAAGTCTATTATGTCTGAATTTTTAAAACATCTGATCAGATAATTAAAACTATATCCTTTAATAAGTATGATGAATGAACTCTTTACTTTTTTACCATTTTATAGTTAATTAATTAACAAACCATTTGTCAACATTTTGAGGCTATGCTTCTTATTCAGGACCTCAAACACTATTAAACTGTTACTTATACCTAATCGTTATTTTCCTATTGCTTCTTGTAAGAGTAATCTTATATCAATTTTTATCATATCTATTCTGAATTTCAGAATAGCAGTTGCCTGCATCCCAGCCATCACACATGAGGTAAAAAGCTAACCTGCAGACACATCTAAATCTAACCCCACATACTCTGGGGTAAGCTCGGAGGTCAGTGAAACTATAGTCCTGAGATGCAGGACCTGCCAAGTTAAAGAACTAAGAAATGGCACCATTGAAGAAATAGCCCAGTTGCCCAGATTAATTTAAAATCATCTGAAGCCACAAGATGCCAAGAGCACTTAGCTAAGGATGCAAGGACCCCACCACGTTCAGAAGAAAAGGCAGAGGAGCTCAAAGGGATGGTTCCAAAGCAACAAAAGTCTATGAGACAAGGCACAATTATGAGAAATCAGTCAAGTTCTTCACCTAGAATCTCTATTAAGAAGTCTAGGGAGATATATTGGTTGTGGTGGTTCCCATTAACTATATGCAGATTCAGATTCAGTCTAGTAAACAGTGCATCTTGATATCCTTAAATGGTGAAAGAAACCAATCTTTTGTAATGGGGTTCAATCAGAAATTATAGATATCACACTGGCTTCCAAACAGTCAGGTCATGGATCGAGAACTGGCATGACTCTAATAAAGAGATGAATATTAAAAAACTATCCCTTCATGTACATATAGGACAAGCCTAGGAAGATAGAAGTGAATTTCAGGACAAACTAGTGTTCTCTTCCTCTGATTACAAAGCGTGTGTCAAATGTGTGGTGTTTCTCATGGCAGCTGTAGTATATGGTATCTCTTTTCAAGCAAACCACATCTCAGCCAGCAGACTTCCTGGATTGTTGCAAACAAAGCTTGATATTTGTCTATTGTAAGGTGTACCTAAAGGGCTCCTAGTCTGTACAATGAAAAACATTCCAATATGCAATTTGTATGTCATTGTTGCAATTCCTTGGTCTTCAAAATCAGTCGGGCTTCTTTGCTTTGTAAAGATTTCGTGATAATTTAGTCCCTTATAAACTACCACACTCCAACAGAGGTTGTGTTGGATGAGGATAAGAACACGTTTTATGATGCATTAGGAGACCCCTCAAAAGCTATCCCACAGTTGATATCCAAAGAGACCGACTTTTTATACCTAAGGGTTTAAGGTCCAACTTGATTAAAGCAATTCATTCGGCTCATCACGGGAGTGAAAGCTGTATCTGCCGAGCCAAGGCCGTGTTTTTCTGGGCAAAAATATCTGAAGAAATTAAAAACGAGATTGACGACTGTGTAACATGCAAAAATTACGCTGTTGCGCAAAGGAAGGAAACTCTTATTTCACGTGAGACTCCAGAACAGCAATGGACTATTTCCAAGTTTTTGATGAGCATTACATTATTGCCACAGACTACTATTCTTCATTCTTTGACTGCTGCACTGATCTCATTTTGTAATGAAGTCTATTGTCGATTTGGTATACCAGACGAGTTAGTATGTGACAGCGGGTCGCAATTAATTAGTGGTGAATTTCAAGAATTCTGAAGAAGGTAGAAATTTAAAATCAGTCCATCCTCACCATACAATCATCAAGCAAATGGAAAGGCAGAATCGGCTGTCAGAACAGCAAAAACTCTGATAAAAAAAGTTAAGGAAGGAAAATGGGAATTGGAGATGGCAATTCTAAAATGGAAGAATATTCCACTCCAACATTTGAATGCAAGCCCTTCACAGCTCCTGATGTCCAAGATGAGCAAAACACTCGTCCCATCTGCTGAGTTGAAGCTTTGCCCTCAAGTTTCAGAAGAGGTCAAGAGGCGAAGAAGTATACAAGAGACACTACAACAAGTCCGTGAGAGATCTCCCACGGCTATCCGAGAAGCAGGGCATCTGGGTGCAGCTGAAGCCAGACGACAAAAAAAATCCTTGGGTAAAAGGTTGGATTGTCTCTGTTGAGAGTGGAAGAAGATATCTCGTAGAAGTGAAAGGAAGACTCTACAGAAGAAATATAAAATTTATAAGAACTTAAAGAGGGAGATGTTGAGGGAATAATCCTATTGAGCGAGTTGTTATAAAACATATTTTGCATCACTTTCCCTGGAGACGAGTCCCACATTGTTCATATTGTATTGAGTGTTAGAAAATAAAATGTTCTTTTTTGTGCAAATGTTATTTAAGCTTAAAATTAACAAAAAGGTTGTTTGAAATTTTGTTCCATCATGTACTCATTTTTTCTTTTTATTATTGGATAACCCCCTACTCACCATTTTTGGCATACGGTGTGGAGGGGGAGAGGGGTTGTTCTAGAGATTCAATCAAACCTACTCTAACCAGAGTGGGAAGGTCGAGTTTCATTCCTTGGGTCAATCATAAAATAAAAGTCAACCCCTCCCAGGCCAGATTCGAAACGCCATCACTAGGCCTGAAAGTACGAAAACGGGCAACACTGTAACAGGCAGTTCAGGGTCACTAGTGACAACTGCAGAGCTCACAGATGGATAAAAAATATAAACTAACATCAATTAAAAAAATAGAAAAAGTTGTCTAGATGACTAAGCTAAGGCCAAGTATTTTATGTCACCCTATGTTAATTATATTTAACAACATATTGAGTAAGATATTCAACATCTTTGTTAACATATTTTCAAATATACCCATACGCAAAAAAAATATATATAGAAAGAAAGTGAATTTTATTCTGGGACATTTAGTCTCCTCAGAACAACTATAATGAACAAAGAAATGACAATTGTCTGGAGATTATGAATAATTAAATGACAATTAAAAATAAATTAATTTACAAAGTTGTCTAACCTTAATATTAAAATAAAGAAACATGTAAATTTTTCATAATATTAAAAAATCTTAATATTAAAAATAAAGACACTGTAGTAAACATATGATCTTGAAGTAGACATATGAATTTAAAGATCAATACATCCGGATGAGTTTACGTATTTGTACAAATAAGCCATATAACACATACATAGATATCAACAAGATATCGCCATAGTGTAGCTGACATCTCTTAACTGCAAAATAACTTTATTTTACATATATTCGGAAGATTGATTACTGAGGAGATGGGAAAATAAATTGTGTTTAAATGAGGTAAAGAATGAGGATTTCCGTATAGAGGTCGGTAGGGAATTCCAAAATGAGGTAGCACGTATGATGAAGGATTATTTAAAGGAAACAGTTCTATGAGAAGGAATACACAAATTTGAGGATTGGAATCTCGTGTTGAACAAATGAACAGAGGAACACGGAGTAAAGAAATCAAGAAGGTAAGAAGGTTTTTTGGACGTAAAGGTTCGGGAGTTGTAAAGGAATACATCTAGGAAATATTGGATAATTTGGGAAATGTGATTATTCCAAGACAGATGTTGGTCAAACATTACCCCAAGGTTTCTTACGGAAGTGTGGAAATGTATGGGTATCCCATTGAGGTAGAGTAGGAGGATAATAAGAAATGAGGTTAATCAGATGCTTGGATCCAATGAGAATAGCTTTGGTCTTCTCAACATTCAATTTAATTCATTGTTCACTGCCCAGGTATTAATACTGTTAATATCTTCTTGTAGCTTTCGGATCGTCTCAAGCATCTCGGTAGGATGGAAGGAAAAGTAGATTTGGAGATCGTCCACATATAACTGGTGTTGTGGTGGTATTTATATATATACAAACATATATATAAATTTATATCATGAATCTCTCTGTGGGTCACCTTACCAAGCTGCATCTCAACTTGCACCAGGTCTAATTGTTTGGAGCAGTGAACTGTAGGTGACATATAAATTTTAATGCTTGTATTAAAATTTATGCCACCAGCAGTTCACTACTCCAAATAATTAGGCCTACTACTAATGAAAAGAGGACATAATTATAAATAACAAATACGTGAAAGTGATCAGTAATACCTTCAAGCCCCCTACATCTGTATTAATAAATGTTCATCCTATTAATTGGATTATTTACTAATTTATGTGATATTGTTAGGTTAATTAATTTTTTAAGATTCAAAGGGAATACATTCATTCAAAAGAACAACTTCCATACACTTCGCAGAACAGAAAATTATTTCAGTTAAGTTCTTGTATTAACATCATTACTAAAACTTGAAATATAAACAATATTTAAAAAAACATTAATGCAATAAATAATGTCGATAAATAATAAATAAATATACTATAGATAAATAAATAAGTACTAACAGTAAAAAGTGAGTTCAAACCCCAAACAACGTCCTTTAATCGCCTTGTTGGTGCCCATCCAAGACCATCAATTGAATTTTGTCGCAGCAAACTTAAACAAATATCCCCATCTTCGCTTATGTTAGGATGCCACAATTTCGTCTGACACTTAACAGTAGGAGGCTGTAAATGAATAATTTATAAAATATTACACTTGAAGTGGTGATTATAATTTTTATTTTCATTTCACAAACTGCACGTTCACTTTATAATACATCTTGAAAAAAAATTAGTAAGTTCTCAACAATTAACATTAGTATTAGCTTAATAAATTTGCATATCGTAACCTTAAGAAGATAGATATCTAACATGAGTTTTTTTGTAACTTATGCTAAACTATGTTAGAACACCAAGAGCTCACATCAAATTATTAGTTGTACAGGAACAACCTTTATATCTAACACTGGAATTCTGGAAATTCATACATTATAATAATCAATACCATTATAATCATATGTTGTTTTAGACAAAATTATTTTTTTATAAATTAAATTAATAAGTTTTTTACTATGTGTGTATTATATTTGTTATAAAATAGTTGCCTTCCACCAGTAGCAGTAGCATTATCAGCTACTCAAGAACTTTTTTGTTAAATTCAAGAATTACCTAACCATCTCTGGAATATGGGATTTCAGCACCAGTGGGTTAGTGCTCATAGGATTTGAGCATATCAGTCCCACTTCTTAAAACTCTTTGTGTTTAATTGTTCCTTACTAACATATATAGATGCTCTAGGGATGTATTAATTAATGGGAACAATAAACAAAGAGTATCCTTTGGTGCAACAAGATGCATGACCATGCACCCTATTGCTCTTTATCATGATACAGTTGAGAGGGAGTTGCCACTAAATGTACAGAGTCCTCTTTTAGTGCCTTCATTATCTTTGACAAGAATATTAGGCATTCTCAGCTTCCAGCATAAAACCTTATTGCCTTGTGAGTCTTCCTAGCATCCATACAGTTCTTGCATTTAGCTGTTCAACCATTTTTCTAAGCCCAGCATTCATTTCCCTTATGCTTGCACTTTCAGCATGTAATATCATTCCTACATTTAGCTTTAGTATATATGTCCATATTAATATATTTGATTTAGTGTCACTGTAATGACAGAATGGCAAGAATAGGTTTAAGACATTAAAACTTTTTAATGATAGGAAACCTACTGTTACAACAGATATGACCTTTTCATTTGTTTTTCATTTTATTTATTCACATGTATATATTTCCTTTATTCATTTTTATATTCACCATATTTCATTTCTTTTTTTCACTCAAGTATGTTTTTCTCTTTACTTGAAGCTATAATATTATTGTATATAAACATAAATTTTATTTCTTTATTGTCAACATATGTAAGTTTATAAATTCTTTCATTTTGTCCACCAGTAAATTTTCTTTTTCATGTTAAAAGTAATGCTTTTCTTCCTTTTATTCTCATATCATTTTTTTCTATATGTATCTTTATTTCAAAATTTTCACTGTACCTACTGTTCCATCCAAAATTCTATCTTTACTTTATACTGTATAATATTCTCCATTTTCCTCACATTACTAATATTCTGTTGTCCTATCATGTTAACTCCAAATCTCTCCTACCACATTTTGCTGAATATCCTAGATTATTTCCCCCATAACTTTTACGACATTATTGCTGTATCCGAAACCTGGCTCAAAACAAATATTCCCACTTCCTTTATATCTATTTCCTATTATACCCTCATTTATCATTATCAGAAAGATCAAAGATCTATTTCCTAAATATATCTCCAGAAGACTCACTTATTTCTGTTCTCAAATCTAAAAGCAATGACTATGGCCGGGATCGAACTCCTGCGAAAATAACTAAATTAAACCTTTCAGTCATCTTTCTTGTTCTTTCACATATCTATAAATTTTCCCTTCAAAACTCCATTTTTCCAACAGTTTGGAAACAAATTATAGTTTAATAATAATAATTAAAATTATAGGATTTTATTTTTAGAATAGAGTCCCTGTCCCCTCCATAGTTTCTGACTTTCAAATTCTCCCCAATCTATCGAAATCCCATTAAAAACGTTGGTTTTCATTAAGAAAAGTGGCTTTAGAAAAATACAAGTTCCCAAAATATAGCTGCAACCATGTAAACAAGAAATCTAAAATCAAAAACGTTGTAATGCTGATGCATGGAAAAAAAAGTGAAATACAGTCCTGCATGCATTTATACCATGATTTTTAGAAGCTGAAATGAAATGGGACATAAAAAAGAAAGAAAGAAAAGAATATGTCAAAAGGACAGCTGTCTCAAGAATTTGTTATCACTGATAAATATTAATATTTTTATAATAACTAAAACCTATACCACGATAACTCATGAAGGGATTAGAGAGCAGTATTAACTTAAGAAATTAAGGGTTCAGCATCGACCGATCGAAGAGTCAGTTACCCACTTAGTAGAGACTCTTACGCCTAGGAGGGTCTAGCACCCTAAAGTAGATCCATGAATTATAGAATAGAAAATAAATTTAACTGTTTATAACCTCTTAACAGAGGCCAGAGGTTGGGGGTCTACTGCCTCACAGGGTCATTTAAAAACACGCATAACAGAAATAATATAACTACTGTTGGTTATGCCAAAGAATGGTTTTCATTTAAATTCTCCTGCGTTATGGCGAGTGGTGGGGGCAGATCTAAAAGATAACACTTAAGCCTTGAGAGGGACTTGTTGTAGCTTCTCATTACATCGGCAGCCACTGGCCAAGCATCATCTACAGCACAGGAAGTCACATACAGAGGACTCTCCAGGTAAAAAAGATGTAGACTGGAATATAGAGGGTAAACTATTTTTTTTGCACAATCATTAACCTACCAATCCCTTAAGATACAGTCCATTGATTAAAAACTAGAATGTTGCCTCATTGAAACTCATGAGAGTTATTTTGCCATAATTGGAAAAGTTGCCTAAACACTTCCTCCACCGGACACGATTAAATAGTTTTTGTCTGCCATATTAGCGATGTTTTGCAGTACATAAAAGAGAAAAATTGCCTCATAGGTTATGAGAGGTTATATAAAGATCGTCTATTTCCGGGCTGATATTCGAATTACGCCTATTAGTTTTTTTAAAATGTAACTTACGTTTATTACTTTGTTGCGTATTTGGGGGCGCCAGAGTAATACAAATTTTTTGTGTCTGTAAAAATTATATTTTCGGCCTAAAATTCGTATTTCGCCTAGTAACACGTTTTTCAAAAATATACTTTAACCAATAGATCTAATGCTTTCCTTACATATTAGGGGAAGTCAAGCAATTTCCAGATAAGTTTCCAGGAATATTCAAGAAAGAACAAATAGTGAACAATTAGGTGACTTCGTTAATACTTACGTTAATCCTTGTCTGCTATGATGAACTTTGAAATTGATTTGAATAAAATACCTGCTTTGCTGAACTTAGAATTTATTTTGAGTAAAAGGTCTGCACCACTGAACATTAAAATTTAATTTTGAATAAAATTGGGTTTTTCCTTAAGCAATTAAATTTTGATTTTGAATAAAATTGGGTTTGGCCTTCAGCAATTGAAATTTGATTGGAATTTTTTTTTTTTCTCTACAATTTTGAAGATGGCACCAACTAAGGGTACTGAGGGACTTAAAGCTATAAATGATAGAAAAGAAAGGATGTTTCTTCGAATTCAAACTACATATGATATGATTAAGGGTCTCCCTGATAGAAAGAAAATTTGTATGGTTAGGGCTTCAAAAATTAAAGCGCAGCTAGAGGAATTTGAAGCGGTGTTGTACAAAATTTCCGTGCTAAATGAATCATTAGATGGAGAACATAGAATCTCTAGCAGCGGAAGACCTTTAGTATGAAATAAAAGCTGCGCACGAGAAATTAATTAAAGCTGAGCACATAGTTCCCGCTTCTCAGCCCATGTCTGAACCAGTAGCGTAAATTGCCAGATTTGCAAATTCCTCCATTTTCTGGTCAGTATGAACAATTTCCCTCTTTTAAATCATTATTTGATGCCTTAATCCATCATCGAAATTATATAGAAATAGTAAAGTTTTCATACCTCAAATCAGTTTTAGTTCATCTTGCTTCATAGGCCATTTCTTCAATCGAGTTTAATGCAGAAAATTACAGCTTGGCCTATGATAAATTAGTAAAGCGCTAAAGCAATAAAAGGATCATTGCGGCCTATCATCTAAACAAAATTACATGGTTTAAATCCTTTTCGGTTGATAATTCTATCAACTTCAGAAGCTTTCTGGATACATTTAAGGATAACTACAACGACCTAAAAAATCTTAAACTCCACAACCTCACTGATTTTATTTTGCTGCATCTTGGACTTAACTTTGTAGACCCGAATACAAGAAAAATGTTAGAGAATAGTCTCAGCAAAGAGACAGTTCCTAATTTTGAAGAATTTTGCAAGTTTGTTAGGTCACAACTTAGAGTTGCAGAAATGTGTTCCGAGCCATCACAATAGACCAGATAAACAGAAAATTAATTTAGAGTGCCCAGTTTGTAAATCAAGCCATAAAATTATAAATTGCCCTCAATTTTCGGATGCCAATGTTAATGGTAGTTATGACTTGTTAAAGAAGTCTGATTTATGCTTTTATTGTACGTGACCTCATTGCTTACCAAATTGCCAAAGTAAGGTTGTTGCCAAGTTTGTGGAAAAAGGAGTCACCATACAATGTTACATAAAGCTGCAAACACTGAGCCATCACAGTAGCAAGTAACAAACAATTCTAGTGCAGTTTCGTGCCACGCTACCACCAACTCACAGGTACTTCTGGGTACAGCGTTAGGTACAATTTGTTCAAGTTCAGGTCAGTGGTATTCATGATGATGGATCCAGGTTCACAGATTAATTTAATTACCACTAATCTAGTGAAAAAGTTGCGCCTTCATTCCCGTGTTAGTCCTCTTGTGGTGTCTGGAATAGGTAATACCTCTATATCTTTATCTTCTGCTGAGGTTAAGGTGAAGTTGGGGGTCAGCGAAAAATAGAAACATATATGAGTTTTCAGCCAGAGTATTGCCCTGCATAAGTGGAAGTTTGCCATCGTTTGCCGTGTCCCAAGAAGTACGGAATAAATTTGCGTCAATAGATCTAGCAGACCCTCAATTTCATATGCCAGGAAAAGTTTATTTGCTTCTAGGTGCTGAGATGTACGGTGAGGTTTTAAATGACTCTGTTTTATATCTTAAGGGTCAACCGAAAGCTATTCATACCTCATTAGGATGGGTATTATTTGGAGACACCCTCTTGGAAAGCCAAAGCCCTATACCTTCAATACGTATTTTTTTCACGCAGACTAGCCCTTCCTTACAGGAGGAATTAAAGCGATTTAGGGAGACAGAGGAAGTCAGTTTCGATTCCGCTGAATCCTGAAGATGCATTTTGTGAAGATCACTTTATAAATACATGCACAAGTGATCTCCAGGGTAGATTCGTTGTTTCGCTTCCATTCCGTTCTGACCAGCCGATTGACCTTGATTCCACCAGAGAGATAGCTCGACGCAGATTCAGAAATCTGGAAAATAGATTTAGGAAGGATCCGGAATATAAGTATGCCTATTCTGCCCAGATGGATGAGATTATAAGATTCGATCATGTCCGCCTCGCCAAGAACCCTTCTCCATACGTCATGTCCCATCATGGAGTCATTAAGGATTCTTCCATGACAAAACTTAGTCGTATTTAATGGTTCGGAGAAGATGGTGGGAGGAGGCTCACTCAATGACTTACTTTTGACCGGTCCGCAGCTCCAGACTGATATTGCGGAACTTATAGATCATTTTAGATACTTTGCTGTGGCCTTAACATACTATATAAAAATGATGTTTATATGTATCCGCATTACTGAAACTTATCAGAACCTATTGCGTTTTTTTTGGAGAAGTGAGTCTTCACAGCCGATCCAGGAATATGAGTTGGTTACCCTTCCATTTGAGTTGAAATGTTCTCCCTTTATTGCTCAGAGAGTCATCCTACAGTTATTTCGGGAAGAAGGACATAATTTTCCTAAAGTTACCCAATGTCATGACCAAATTTATGTAGATAACATAATCACTGGTGCTCGCAATAATGATGGGGCTCTGGATCTGTACAATGAGTTGATGGTCCTATTTGGAGCAGGTGGGTTTGAGCTAAGAAAGTTCTCCAGCAATTCCGATAAAGTACTTTCTGTTATACCCGAGGGTAGTCAAGAAATGCTGTTATGCCTGGATGGAGATTCCTCTACTGTTAAGGTTCTAGGTTTGTGCTGGGATCCTAAACTCGATCATTTCAGGTATTCAATACAGGAATGTGAGCCTGTTTTTAAAAAGCGAGGTATTCTATCCTTCATTGCCAAGTTTTTTGATATAAATGGATATATCAGTCCCGTCATTTTTTCTGTTAAATGTCTATTACAACGTTTGTGGCTTCTTAAGGTTGATTGGGATGATGAGTTGCCTTCTAGTGTGTTTCATTGTGGAAGATTTTCCTTCACGAATTTCCGAGCTTGAAAAGTGTTTGCCTGCCTCGTTGTATTGTCAGCCAGAATGCATCATCCATGCAACTAATCGCCTTTTCAGACGCTTCCGAGAGGGGTTACAGGTGTGTGATCTACCTGAGAGTTGGGTGTCCTGGAGAAGCTACCAAAATTCATTTGTTAAGGGCAAAAAGTAAGGTGGCCCCACTTAAGTTTCAATCAGTGCCTCGTTTGGAATTAAATGTTGCTCTTCTTGCCTCCAGACTACTTACATGTATCGATAAACTTAAAAGTCATTTAAAAGTTGAGGAAGTTTATTGTTTTTCGGATTCTCATACCATACTCTATTGGTTACAGACACCGTCACATGAACTTAAAATTAATGTTGCCAATCGCGTAGTGCGGATTTTGGAAGTTACAGAACCTAATTGTTGGCATTATATTCCTACGAAAGGGAATCCAGCAGATTGTTTATCGAGAGGCCTCACACCATACCAGATACTTTCACATGAGCTTTATTGGAACAACTTGGCATTTATTTCATTACCTCCTTCTGACTGGCCTATTTACCACATTGAACCTCCATCCGTTCTGCCTGAGGTAAAAACAATATCTCTTTTAGCAGCTGAAAAACCTAACGATTTGTTGATTTGCCTGGAAAAATATTCGAGCCTTTTAAAGTTGCAAAGAGTTTTTGCTTACATTTTAAAATTTATTAAATTTTGCCGAGATAAGGAGCAAGATGATTTTGCTGCTGGAACCTTGACTGCGGACCATCTTAAGGATTCCTTGATGATTTATGACGGGTATAAAATGGACCTTTACTCCTCCAGCATCTCCTCATTTCAGTGGTATTTGGGAGGCAGCTATTAAATCTGCAAAGAGACACCTTCTTGCCGTTCTCCAGGATCATGCGTTAACTTATGAGGAATTTTATAATCTTCTTGTACGAGTTGAAGCCGTTCTCAATTCCCGTCCTATCTGCAACATTAGCAGTCAGCCATCGGATAACCTGGATTAGCTTACCCCAGGACACTTTTTTATAGGTCAACCCCTCCTAACCAGACCAGAACAAAAAGACGGACCTGTTTTTCCTTTGACAAGTCATTGGGAGATGATTTCCAAGACTCTTCGTAATTTTTGGAAGAGGTGGTATAATGAATACCTTCACCATCTGCTGCCTCGCAACAAGCGGTATACTGATAAGGAAAATTTAAAGGAGAGAACCCTTGTAATTCTGCATGAAAAAGTTGTTCCACTGCAGGATTGGTGGCTTGCCAGGATAATAGAGACACTTCCAGGGCCCAACAGTGTAGTTAGGATTGTAAAATTGAGGACTGCTACAGCCACTTTGGTGCGACCGGTGCACAAGTTAGTGCCTCTCCCTTCTGGAGAAACCTTTTATTGAGATGTATATTTTCTGTTTAAATTTAATGAGGAATCATTTTATTTTAAGTTAATTGTAAATTATTAACCTAATTTCTCTCTTTATTGTAAACCAAGCAATTTTCCTCTCGTTTGTGCCTTGCCCGGTGATCACCAATCTCTGAGTTTGGTTTTTTCTTTTTTTTTGTTTGTGAAATGAGATATATCACGGTGGGGGATTGGGTTGTGCCAAAGAATGATTTTCATTTAAATTCTCCAACATTATGGCGAATGGTGGGGGCAGATCTAAAAGATAATACTTAAGCCTTGAGAGGGACTGCTTGTATCTTCCCATTACATCGGCAGCCACTGGCCAAGCACCATCTCCAGCACAAGAAGTCACATACGGAGGGCCCTTCAGGTAAAAAAGATATAGACTGGAATATAGACAGTAAGCTATTTTTTTTTTGCACAATCATTAACCTACCAATCCCTTAAGATACAGTCAACTGCTTAAAAACTAGAATGTTGCCTTATTGAAATTCATGAGAGTTATTTTGCTATAACTGGAAAAGTTGTCTAAACAACTGTTAATTAAAATACATGAACATTTGATCTTTTAATTACAAAAGATTTCAATACTTGTCTAAAATAATCATTCTAGGTAGAAATTAACTTACAGCGATATTATAATCTTCTGTTATGTATATATGGAACCAAAATTTTCCTCCTTGCCAGAAACCTTCATCAGGTGTAACACTGAGATAAAATTCATGTAGCTTGTGGGGATCTTTAAATTTAACTGAACATGTTGAAGGCAGCATAGTTTCCATCTCTTGGATCTAAAAAGAAATAAATGGAATATTCATTCATTTTTGGTGTTCAGTTGTAACTGTTTTTTGTAATTAATTTTAAGATATATTAAATTGCTAATACGACTTAATTGTTTATCAAAAACATCATTAGGTATTGATAGGATCTGAAGCAAAAAAATGTAAACAAATTAAGGATAAGATAAAAAAAAGGTAAAGAAGGTAATTTACATCAGAAATTTAAAAGGATCTCTAAGATTTTTGGCCTCATTAACCAACTTTGTATCAGTTTTTAAATAAGGAAACAGCTATATGTAAATTGTGATATATCTTTTTATCTTACATCTTTTTAGATTTAAAATAAAAATAAATAAATGTATGAATAATTAAAAAGTAAATAAAAAAATTAATAAGAAATATAATATCAAATAAATATTAATAGTTTATATTTTATCAATGAGACTAAAATACAATGCAGATGGAAAATATTCACTTAAGAACTTAATTAAAATCCTCTTTTTATTTAAGGTACTACAGTTTATAGAAGGCAAGGACTTCACATTCACACAAAACGTGCTCAACCTTTTCTTCATCCTCTCAGCACAGAAGGCAAGTGGAATCTTCCACTAATTTCATCTTCTTGAGATGATATTTTACTGGACTATTTCACTATTACTTTTATTTATAACATTTAATATCACTAAATTAACCGAAATTTAAAAAAGTTTCATAATTTTCATTAATAAAAAATTATTTATTTTTGTATTACTTTTACAAAAAATTAAATTCAATCCATGACCATAACTTTCCATATAAATATATAAAATAAATACAGAGAACAATAAAATATCACAGAAAATACTGACTAAGATGTTATCTTAAAAACAATATACTATCCGAAAGATTTCAAAAAAAGTTGTTGAGGTAAGTAAATAGTGCGAACAGAAGGCCTCGGCAGAGCGTGTTCAATTAAGGAAAAGTGACTCAGTGGATGAGGAAGAAGCTAAGATAGGATGACATCAAGTGTCAGGCGGATGAGCACCTAAATCACTCTTGGTCTGCAAGTTAAGGGATGAGTGTTCAGACTTTGTGGAAGGAAAAAATACTAATGGAGAGATGAGTCTCCAGACTTAGTATACAAGAGTACAAGCGGATGGATGAGCACTCAGACCTTGTACGGAGAGATAAGGAGAAAAGGTCAAAGGAGCATAGAGAGAAATAAAAGTCAGACTGATAGAGGGGGTGGCTGAGCAGACTAACGCATGTGCATAGCACTGCGAGTTGCCTGGCAACCTGATAAGCGAAGTTAAAGTTCAAATCCCAGTGCCCAGTGGGATTTTTAACTCGGTATAATTCCCTGTCCTTCCCTCCGTTTAGCCTAAAAGCTAAGGAAGGGGAGAACAAAAAAAAAGTTAGACTGATAGAGAACCAAAAAGTGTACATAAAATATACTGATCAATCTGAACCTTTACCTGAAGCTCTTGACTATGAAATCCCGAAGGATATGAAGACTATGAAACTTTATACATATTTACAATTTGGAACTGCAGTTTTTAACATTAAAATAATAAGAAATAAAAATACAACTTCTAGGTACAATGAGTGAATGTGCATAAACGGTGCTTCCAGGTAGCAGGCAGGTGAACTAATAGGCTGCCATAGGTGTACCAGGTGGCAGGCAGATGAACTAATTATCCACCAAAACGTTTTATGGGAATAACTTGAGGGAATTAAAACAAAAATTTTAATGTTATCCAATCCAATAAATCCAATGGTTTTGAGAAATCGAACAGAACCAGGGTAGTGATTTTCTGTTTCTCTATCGAGAAATGAGGCTCTTGACTAACTTTCAAAAAAGCAGACTGGATAAAGAACTAGGATCAGAAACTAGACTGGAGGGGATTGAGGACAGCTTTTTGTTCAAGGAAGGTGTTAAGCTGTCCATGGACAATTCTTTCAAGAGGTTTTGAAAGGTTGGAGAGAATGGAGATGGATCTGAAAGCGGAAACTTTGAAGGGAAGAGGAACTTTGTTCAACAGGCAAACAATAACTGTTTCCTAACTGACGGGAAACTGGAATTTTGCAAGGAAAAGTTGTGGATATGCAGTAGGATAGGGAAAGATGATAGGAAGACATAGTTCAATGAACTTTACAGGAATTAGATCTGGGCCATAGTCATTTGTTCTGGATCTTAGGACAGAGGAAAGTAGGTCCTTCTGGTAAAATAATTGCAAAATAAAAATTTTGAGGGTCAAAGGAAATTTTTGGAATGCAGTATGAGGAGGAAAGTGGTGATGAGTTAGGGTTGGCAAAGTGGAAATTCAATTTGGATTTGGTTCTGAGGCTAGTGATCAAGGAATATAAAAGAATTGTGCCTAAGCATGTCACAAGGAAGATTGGGTAAGGTTTCGAAGAGTCTTGAAAGAGAAGTAGTCATCCGGATTACGTGTGCATCTAAAATGCCTTCTTGCAGCGTCTCTTCTCCTCATTAATTCTCTTATTTCTGGATTAATCCAGGAAACAGGAGGGTGTTTGAAGGTTGAGGTCTTTAAGAATGCATGTTGATTTAGGAATAGAAGATTAGAGGAAAGGCACTGCCCCATTTCGTCAATGGAGGAATAGGAATAGATGGGATCTAAGGATTGGGCTAGTGATTCGAGAAAAGCATTTAGTTTTTCAGAGGTCAGTGAGCCAAGATCCTGCAATGTGATTTGCCTGGGAGTGAACACGGCCTGCAATTTGTCACCTTTCGGCATCTAACACGCCCTCAGGAAAACCAAACGTATTTGATTTTTCTGGCAGCCTTTTTCTGTCTAGCCACCCAGTAAAAATGGCGGTTGCTTGTGTTCATTTCTTCCCAGATGTAGATCCTTTCATTGCTCTCCCAGCCGAGATGCCTGGTGGTCAAGTCACTTTTTATCCTTCGAAGTCGTAACATTTCATCCCGGATCGTCTGGCGGACAAAACACACTCCTCTTCTCTCCACCAAGTCTAGGTTCTTGTAATTAAGCCTGATACCCATGGCCTTCACCCGGACAAAACTATTCCCTCGGTCATTTCCCCAGTCTTCATGGGGATCCCTCTTAGCTCAATCAAATGTGAGAGAAATGCTTGTTCTTCACAGTTTAGCCTAATCTCTATAATTTTAATTATGTTTTAAGGATGTTATTTACGGCTAATAATTTTTCAATTAACTCTCCCTGCCTATTGGATTCTTCCATTGATTTGAGTCTTTCTGAGTTCTTGAAAGACAAACTTGTTTGTTTGTCAATGGTGCTCTTAAGTTCTTTTATTTCTTCTGTAATTCTGCCTAGCTCGGAAAAAAACTAACGCTAAGTTCTCTTCAGTGCTGGCACTAGGATTACCCGTATACTGCTTTGTTGTTTTCACTTGTGGGTCGCAAGTGCGACAGCACCATTTTTTTTTTTTTAACATCTCAACGTTGGTAACATTAGCACATTTACTGTGGAATATATTTTTGCAATTGAAGCATGCTAAGGAGGTGTTTTCTTCCCTAGTTACTGCTAATTTACATACTGCACACGGTGCCATAGCGAGATGTGGAATTGAACTAAAGGCGATGGAACGGCATAGAGGAGAGTGGTGGGGAGCGATAGTAGCGGTGGGGGAATGCAGAGAGTTAGTCCCTTAGCAGCACTCAGTCTGATGCCTAGTCTCTCGTTTAGCTACAACAGTAGACTATCTGATGCAGTATTATCCACAAAAGTTGTAAACACGCCACTAAGTATTTTTAATAATGTGATAAATATATAACTCAGAAAATGTAATTCCTGAGTACACCATAGATTAAGATATCAAATAGACACAGAGGAGATGCGCACTGATTGACGGCAGAGGCCAGACTGAGTTGGTACTTAAGTATTACCATGCCATATGTTCCTATTATTGAAACTGCATTTTATATTCAAAGATAATTAGCATTTTTATATTCAAAGATATGTAGCACCATATCCTACGATTTTATGATTCATTGATGAGTACTTTTCCATTTTTACGTGAAGATTTTATCACATTTCCCGTGGCACATTTGAAGCATCGAAGAATTGAGAGTTCCTTAAAATACAAATAAAATTATGTAATATGCACTGCCTCAAAAAGTTTCCATATAGTTACATATTACATATTAACATAGCTAATAATCTACTAATTATATTATTTTTATTAATCAGAAAGGCTAGTAGAGGCAAAAGGGTATTAACATTATTACAAGTTCATGCTGAATCACTAATCCCATAGCAGAAAGAGATACAACTTTAATCTGAATGTCAAAAAAGTTTCCATACATCTATAATATCTCAATTCTATTTCTATTCAATGCCATTATTTGCCTATTTCTATTTAAATGCCTCTACTATCACTCCTGATTAATAAAAATAATATTATTAATAGGTTATTAGCAATGCTAAAGAACAACTAACTGTATGGAAACTTTTTTGAGACCGTGTATTCAATTGATTTTTTTAACATATTTTCAAATATACACATATGCAAAAAAACAAACAAAAACAAAAACAGCTAATATATATGTATATATAGTATAAAGTTCTGAAACTTTTTTGGGAGGTCATCCATCTGCCTATGAATATATGAATCCGCATATGAAAACTTTGATGGTAGGCCTTAGATGTCTAATACTGAACTTTCATTGTTCTAAAAACAGATATTTTTGATCTAGGATATACTTACAATATTGTTGGGATTGTAATTCTCATTTTGGGCTGAAACGGTTGAAGAATTCTTCAAGATGATCAATTCAAATGGGGAAAAAAATGATACTGAACTACAGGAGTTAATGAATGTAAAGAATTGTCACTGAGGAAATAAATCTGAACATTTAAATAAAAATCTTGGTAATTAAGTTTATCTCTAATTACAATTATATGACATCGAATTTTTCTAAAACCATATATTATAAAAACTGAAGTATTTAAATAATTATTGATAATTGAGAAATTAGAGGAGTTATTATTTAAGATAATTATGAATCCAATTTATTATACCTCTTTAACAAGAAGTTTATCTCTAATTGAAACTCTTCTGGTACAATTTTTATTATGATAATTTGGATCTTCGGCATTTTTCCGTAGCTTCCTTTGAAGTGTAATCATCATTCTTTATATTCCTATCAAATAGAAATATAAATTAATTAAATATGCTGCATAGATACCATTTCATCAATAAAATTAAAACTCTAATAAATAAGGGCAATCCATCTTATATCAATATAATAACAAATTCTAATTCTATTTTGGAACAGTTTTGTCACTTTCTAAACTCTATAGGTATTGAATAATAAAAAATAAAGGCTGTTAGTTAATGATCCAGCTAAATAATCATTTGGAATAATTACTATTTAAAATTTTGGTAATGGCCTCTAGCTAAAGCCTTGTATAAAAAAACAAACAAAAAAAAATCATTAATTATCTATCTATTCATAAAACAACTTTAAAATATAATGGATTCAGAATTATTAGCAAACAGTTTCTAATTTACAAAATAAAAACATTAAAGAATTATAATTGTATATATGGAATTCGATTACTTTTTATTTTCCAAAACGTTACACACAAATCATAAACTAAAAATTATTAGTATTAAATATAAATAGAGGATTTAAGAATCTTTTTATCCTTTTTATATGAGAATTGATTATTTTTTTTGCACAATTAGTGTTCAAGAAACTTTTCAGAACTATTTAATTTTACAAAATCATTTTTCTTCAACATTGTATTCTCAATTTTATTTCTCACATGTTGTAGAGTAATGGATCAAAATAATTCTATAAAGGAAAAAACTGTTACAATGGTAAAATATTAAAGATCATCGATAAAAAATTATATCATTGATAGCTCACAAAAGTATACCTAAACAGTATTTTCAAAGAAAAATGTGAAAAAATCAAAGAAAATAATAGTTAAACAGTGAAAATGGATTTAATGCTTAAAGTTGTTTCTTAAAACATAAAAAATGTTCACAAAAAAAGTACTGCGGAAGATATTTGGGACCGTGGGAAAGGATGATGGATATAGAATAAGGACAAACTTCGAGTTGAAAGAGCTAATCTCGAAGTGGACATAGTGGAATTTATTAAGAAAAGAAGACTGGGCTGGCTTGGACATGAGTATAGGATGCCTATGTCGAGATTACTTTTAGACAAATGCTGTGTGGACAACCCACCCCAGAGGTTCTCGAAGGAGAGGTAAGCCTTGCAAAAGATGGCTGGATGATGTGGAAGAGGACCTACAATAGTGTTGCCCAAATGCGAGACCAAGACTCATCTTGCGTAAGAGTCTCGCAACAGTCTTGCAGTTACTTATTAGCTTATTGCTATACAAATATTGCTGTCATTTTTAAGATAGGAGAAACCTAATTAAGCCCGAATAAAAAATTAGAGGGGTTAAATGCAAAATTATATTGGTTATACCAATTATTAACATATAGTAACTAAGATTGTCAAGTATTAGTAAATATTTTGTCTTAATTTTTATTTAAAAAATTGATTTTTTTTTACCAGTCCTGGTCTTGGTCTTGCAACAGTTATGCGGCCTTTGTCTTGGTATTGCAAAGTGCAAGACCAAGACCGATTTTGGGCTACACTAACCTACAACAGCTAAACGTCAGGCGAATCCAGACTAAGGATAAAGCAGAGTGGAGCCCGATAATGAAGGAGGCTTTGGTTCTTAATGGACGGCATGCAGTGAGTGAGTAAGCAATTATTAAAAATTTAAAAAATCAGTATTATTGCTAATCAATAAATCACTCAATAAGTCCCCATTCTGATACATAGACGGCAGCATTGTTGATAGACCCACGTGATTTCCGAGTAATACTAACCTTTAAACAGTACGTGTCAAAATTTCATGGCATTCTGACAGTTAGTTTAGAGGTTAGTCATTTTAGTGATGCCATTTTGTAATTTTCAAGATGATGGATAGAAAGGAATTTCGTGGGTTAATTAAACACTGTTTTTTGATGGGGTAAAATACTGTTGAAGCCAAACAGTGGCTTGAAAAGCATTATGGGGACTCTGCACCAGAAAATTCAACTATTTTATTCAGGGAATCCAACAGACTGCTATGCTGAATTTAAACACGGTCATACAAGCACTGATGATACTGAGCGCTCTGGTTGCCTTGAGCAGTTGTTCTGAAAACATAAAAAATGAAGTTGAGTGACATAGCTGATACCTTGAAGATATCAGAAGGTAGTGTCTTCACAATTCTACATGGAAATTTGGGCATGCGCAAGTTGCTTTCGATGTTGATGCCACGTTTGCTTACACCGGACCAGAAACAACAATGGGTCGACGAGTCAGAGCACTGTTTGGAGCTGTTCAAGCGAAATAAAAAGGATTTTTTGCATCGGTATGTGACAATAGATGAAACATGAATCCACCACTAAAAGCATGAATCTAAAAGACATTCAGCTGAGTGGAGAGTGGACAGCAGCTGGCGAAAGTCATCCAAAGCGACCAAAAACTCAAAAGTCGGCTGGCAAGATTATGGCAGGACGTGCTTATTAAATATATTTTTATTATCCTGGGACTGTTGTCCCTTTAGGACAAATTATAAATACAGAGAAAATATCTGTGTGGCCATACATTAAATTAAATATTTATAAAATAAGATCTAATTAAAATAAAATTAAAGGAAGAGAAAAAATACATACATATATACAGAGAATAAACATAGGAAAATAAAATAACATAAGTAAATAAAATAGTTTCTGAGGGAACTTAAGAAGTTCTCTAATGTATCTTTTGTGATCAGTAGGGTTGGGAAAGAAGTAGGTGCTTAAAGAGGAGAGATTTAAATGAGGAAACTGATTGTGCATGTCAGATATTGGGAGGGATAATATTCTAAAAGGAGACACCTTGAATTACAAAGGATTTGCCAAACGCAGCAGTTTGGTGAAGAGGAGGAGGATAGAGGTCGGAAGAACAGGATCTGGTTGGACAGGACTGAATGGAGGATTTGAAATGTAGGTTCTGAAGAATATAGGTGGGTCGCTGACTTCTAATGGCTTGGTATAAAAAGATAGCAAGGAAGTACTGACAGCGGTAGGATGGATAGAGCCACTTCAACTCAGTGTAATACTCGGTTATATGTGTATCTCTTGAGATCCCGAAGACAAAACTTATTGAGCAATTCATTAGGCGTTTAAGTTTAGCTTTTAGTTACCCGAGAGTCCACCATACACCATACAACTATAGTCAAGTGGGGGAAAACAAGAGAGGAAACCAGGAGTTTGTTACCAAAATTACCTCAGCTCAGAGGAGAGGGCCAGGGTTTAAAAAAAATTTTCTTTTACATTAGTAATGCACGATTACTTGAAAAAAAAATTTAGGATAGATAATTTTAATCCTTATTACTTCTTAAGTTTTTATCAGATGCCATAATATTTTTTCGTTATACTTGGATAATAGTGAAACCTTCAATTAAAAAAACATATATCATTCCAGAAATTTAATTATTGTTTTAAAATGGAGCCTATAAAAAAATTAAATGAATATTACGGAAGGAAAAGTAAAACTGACAATAAAAGTAGTTCTAAAATAAATAAAAAATTATTATATGAATGAGGATTCGAACTCAGGTCTTCAGCCTGAGAGTCAGACACCTTACCCTTCAGCCATACCATCTGTGGTATCTAGAAGACTTACCTTGGACATCTCTGTCGAATGAGGGAAGAGAGGGACCCAAGAAAATATTCTGAGGCCAGAACAACAGGAAATGCCCAAGAGGGAGACCCAGAATACAATGGAAAGAATACATCTTCAAAGTTGGCATGAGAAGAGGAAAAAACTGAGAAGCCATGAGGGTGTTGGCTCGGGATCGAGAAGCTTAATTTGCCTGGACAGAGGTACCTCCACGCTGAAAGCCATTAAGGAGGAAGAGAAAGGAAGAAGAAGAAGTATTTTAACATATATTGTCATTAAGTTTCTATAGGGGTGAGAACTGGAGCTATAAAAGTAGTTTTATTGTACTCTCAGGATTGAGAATGGTATCGAACAGGGTTTGAGGGTTTGAAATCGATGATTATTTTTTCCACAAAATCGTGTAATAATTATTATATTTGATTTCTAATTTAAAAATCATGCCTGATTTATAAATAAAAATTTGAATTGATCTTTTATGTTAATTGATTCGATTAAAAATAATGATCACTCACTGAGTGATAAGGTTTAACATAAATAATAATCACTCAATTATGATCAAAAAATAAAAAACGAATTAAAATTTAGTTCCTTATCAAAAAAAAAAAAATGCGACTGGTAAGCACAAAAATATTATAAAAATAGTGAGCTAAACTGAGTGTACATATCAGGTGTTAACAGATAATACGAAACTGTTTCTGATAGGCTATGAAGAAATAATGTATGTGTTTCAGAAAACATATGTTCGACCATGCCAATTAAATGGTTTTCATAATTCTTAATTTTTACATGTATCAAGGTTTGTTTTGTAGAAATTTACAATAAATAAATGTTGAGCTTTAATCCGAAACTTTTGTTAACCAAATTTCAGTTCTCAGGTCATGAACTTAAGATAACTTAAAGTTTCTTTTTTTTCTATTTTATTTCGATTAAGGCATTTTAAATTCCTCACCCAGTTTCATTTTATTTTATTTTTTTATACCTGAATATTCCTTAAACGATTTTTTTTTTAATTCTTCAATTTTGAATAGATCCTGTCATGTTTTTATTTTGAAGAGAAGATTAGTAAGGGTGTTCAGTCCAAAAACAAAAAGTAAAAACAAACAAATTATGTATTTATGCATTTATTTAAAGATAAATGTCTATTATATTTGTTTTATATTACATTTTAATTCTAGATGTATACACTTTTGTTTTTTTGTTATTATTCTATTATAATTTTAAGAATCTTAATATTGTGTATAGAAGATATATATGTATTTAGATATGAGCACAATATATATGTATTTTTTTTTTTTTTTTGAAAGCCAAAATTTCTAATGAATTTCAGAAATAATGATGTTCTGCTGCTAATGGTTGACAAAAATATTCTTCATCTACTACTACAGACTCAAAATTTATCACGGAGATTAGAAAAAATTTATAATTCTAATTTTAAAAAGTATTAATCAAGAAATATTTATTAT